GAAGCCAGCATATCAGGTTCCATCTCATTTAGGTGTCCAGCTACTCTAACTCAAGGTTAAGCCCCCAGCAGATGCGTGCGCACACACACACACACACCCCAGCGGCCAGTGAGATGCCAAATGATGCCTGATGCCTTCATTTGTTTTCCCTTTTCAACATTCTTTATGCAAAAACAATACTTTGTAGCCAAACAGACAGTGTTATTTAAGTTTTACTTTAGATTTATTAATATGCTGAATTAGTATTTATTTTAATATTTGTTGTTTTTTGTTGTTGTAATTTCTGTAGTTTTTAGTTAACGATAATAATCCTGCCTTGAAAATACAGAAATTCATAGAATGCAATGCACACTTTACTCTAACTGATCTCTACGGAGTAACAGTGTTTACAGTACAGACTCATCATGGAAATGATGTTTCTCAGGTTGCAGTGGGAGTTTATGAAATACATATGAATGCTTTTCCTTGGTCGGGGGGTAAATACATTATTCACAAGGACATAGAGATACTCAAGGCCTTTCAAGGCCGCTCAACGTTCTTATTGAGTCTTTTTGCACAGAATCCACATAAATTATTAGATTTAGATTCCACTGATCTAGACAGACCGTGTCTGAAACCAGAAAAAAATGCTGCCTTGGCAGGTAGAAATGCTTTAAGGCATGTCTGAGTCCATTGCTTGATTACTGCCTTCACTGGCCAGTTTCTGAAAGCAGCGTAGATGCATCTATGATATTTCACAATTCTGGGCTTACAGTTTGGCAGAATAGAAATGGAATCTGATGATAAAGTGGTTAAAAGAAGTCAATTAGTTTATACAGTAAATGCAATGTGCAAATTATAAAATAATTTCTATAAAACATCAACTATCTGAAATACTCTTTAAACAAAAAGATTTAAAACAAGTTTTTGTGATATACTTATTATATGTATTATAATTCAGTGAGACATTCCCAAAAATATTCTGTAATTCTTTAAGGGTTATAAAACTAAAACCATAAGCATTGTTTTAATTTGAAATAAAATTAAAATTTGATTTAAATAAAATTGCACTAAAATAAAATAAAATATAAAACCTTAAAACTCATTTTATTTCAGCTAGTTCCTAAGGCAACGTGTCATTTTCGTCTTCATTATTATGTACTAAAATAAATGAAATAAAAATGAATAAAAAATATATAAAAAATATACAAAATTTTTATAAAATGGACAAAAACACAACAAATTTAGGCTACTAAATCCTAAACTAAAATTAAAAGGGAAAATGCATAAATAAAAACTAATTCTAAATATTAATAAAAAAACTATAATAGTATCTCAGTGATACTAAAATAACAGATTCACACCCTGCATAACTGTCCTTTTTAAATTAAGGCATGATTCCATTTCGATTGCAAAAATAATCTTTATAGGCATTAAATATGTGCTTTGTCTAAAGCTCTCTTGAATTTGTTCTAGATCATTCTGTTTTGGAAGCCTGTCTGAAACACATTCCTTTAAACGGTACCTTTATACAAAAACACGGTCTGTTTATTCTCGGACTGACTGCAGCATGGCTGCTGTTCCCTCACTGTTTAGAATTATAATGCAACTCTAGTGAAGATCCTCTAGGGGGCGTCAGTATCACTGGGTTTCATTGGAGAACCTGAACCTGCAGCCGTGAGCTGAGAGTCAATTAGTTTGTTGTGCTGTTTTACCAGCTGGGAAAACAGATTGTCTCAGAAGACACACAGTGTAGTGTGCTTTCATGATGAGTCTGGGTGATTTCATAAAAAGAGACATCTCCGAGTGTTTAGGAGGTATGATGGCACTTGGATGCAGGTAATGTTGTCATCAGCACATCAGAAGGTATAATTAGCATAAGCAGCTGTCAATCATCCATCTAGTACAGATGCTAAATAGCTTGCGAAAATCAGCGGGAATGGCAAAACACTGCTAATCACACACAGCGAAGACCAAATTGATAAGCTTTCAAGTTAAAGTTTTTTAAATCTCGCTTCATTTTGGCATTGTAAAACTGACTATTCTGTCAAACCATGTACAACGTTCTCAAAGCTCTACAATGTGCAGATAAACTCTTATATTGGAATAAGAGTCACTTATATTAGTGATAGCTAATACTAGTTGCTTATGAACTATATTATTTGGCCAATTCAGAATGGTTAATTCTGATTAATATTAATAAATGCAAATTTTTATTGAACATTGTCATTTACATAATATTGATGATGTTGCCATTGAATAAAAGCAACAAAAAATAATCATTTAGACAGTGTTTTTACTATGCCTGTTCAGGGGGTTATAAACTAAAGCATGCCTCGAGACGAGAGACATGTTTCTTGTAAGTGTCAGAGAGCAATACAAATTTTAAAGTCATTATGAAATGGAAGCTGCGATAGTGTTTTCTTCCGGAGTGGTGCAGGAATGACGTCGCTTTGTAGGCCAATCGGCAGTTAGCATCCTGACAAAACCCAATAGGCTTTTTCCATAGGCTCTTGGATTATCACTACAAAAAAAGCTCTGTGATCAACAGTAGTTTATTATACTTACAAGTTTTGTCCAATCAAGATCATTTTCACAGATGAACACAACTTTTATGAATTTTAAAGCCTAAATACAGTCGCCAGAAGTAAAAAAAACTAGGCTATAAACAATCCAATCACAATCGCTAAGCTTCCGACAACTCTTAGTTTTTATCTAAAACATTTTCCAAGAAACTTTGAGTTAGAATAGTTTATAAGAGCACAATTATGAGCATAACGAGGCTGTAAAAGCAGAGCTGAGCTTATCTTTTCAGGATGATGATGTTTAATGTCCCCTCATTTAGCCATTTGTTAGCAACCGCCTTTTTTAAGACACTTAATAGCTTTAAATAATCACGAGTGGGGTAATACTGATGTGTTTTATTTTCTAGAATAAAACGTGAAAGTGTCTTGAGCTTGTTCACCACAGACCTTATTTCAGCCATTTAACCAAAATCCCATTTAAAAAACCCATCGACTTCGGGACAATGGAACCGGAAGAGATAAAATGCTAACTCATGTCCGTGTTTTGGCTTACAAAGTGATTTCATACCTGCACCACTCTATTGCAACGTATATACGAGTGAAACAGCTTCTCGAACAAGAAAAAATGTAGGGCGGGACTTGATTTTGTCCATTGGAAATTGATTGGATGGTTGGGGTTTTCTATTGGTGGATCTCATATGAGTGACAGGTTGTCCCGCCCTCACGCTAGTAAACATCATCAGAGAAGAGAAGAGATGTTGCTGCAAGAGGGATGGGAAATTAATTTGATTAAAGATTACAAGGACACATTAATATCTATATATATTTAAAACGTGTAAAGCATTTATAATCAATACAACACTGCAATATTCCATGAGAATAAGAATGGTCAATTTTGATTTAATGGTGACTTTAATTGTTTTGTTGTCCCACCTACATTTTTAGTGTGGGAGACCCAGTAACCATAAAACTCACAGGTCCTTTTGTAAGATTAAGAGGTAATTGTTGCCAAACATGTGATACAAGAATCAGGATTCATTCTTGAGTCAGCTAAAGTCTTAAGTGTGATAAAACTGACAGATATGAAAAGAGTCCACATTTAGATCAAGACTACAACTTCACAAACACAAAAATCCTTAAAAGGGTCATAAAATATGGTTAAACATTAAGCTTGAAATATAAAAAGTGAGATCATGGATGAACACAAAACAGCGAGTGGCCCAGCTGAAAAGTAGTGAGCCTGGCAATGTAAGTTATTGGATAGTAACCAAATGCACAAATGTCATGTCAAAGTTAAAAATATATATACAGGTCAAAGGTATATGTGTATTTACAACATACGTAATATGTCATGTATTCACACAACATACAAAAAGAACACACTTCATCAAATGTTAAGAAGTTCATTAACTTCTATAGATATGCTGAAAGTATGAAGAATTCATTTGAGAGATTGAGAGAGCAAGTGTAGATGATTAAATGCTAAAATCATATTAATTAGCAAATGAAAACCAAGCAGCAACAAAATAATGACAACACATCAGTTAAATGATTTTATTACAAAACACCCCCAAATAAATTTCTATGCCATAACCATCATAATATAAGCAAATAATTTACTCTTCAGGTCTCTGCATGTGGTTGAATCGCAAACATTAAGACTTTGACTACCGGGTGATGTCAGGTAAAGTTGGGAGGGTCTTATATTTCTTTATTCAATATCCAATCATTGCAAATTATTGGAAACATTTGCAATCATAGTGCTTGATGTATGAATTGATTTGATTGGCTGATGTGAAACGTTTATTCTGCTGTCCCATTTTATCTTGATTACTTTTAGGAGATATTTATGATTTATCTAAATCATATTTATATTAGCCTACATGATTGCAGTATTCATATAGCTATGTGCACATGTGCAAAACATTTACTGTGAAGCCATATTAGAAAATAAGTGTAACACATTATTTATAACACAATAAATAATATTTATTTATTCACCATGTAATGTACAGATTCACAGTTTTGTTTTATAATAGATTTCACCATTTTATCAGAACACATTTACTTTTGGCATTTAAATGGCTCGGGCTTAACCCGTTTTTGTGGCATTTTCAACATATAATCATAAAATAAGCCTGAGAGCAGTCTTCGGACGTATTTTAACGCGGCTCAAGGCGATTGACACGTCCCAATTTACTCGGCTTCATCCACACAAACTGAGATTTTAGAGCTCGTGCCATCAGCTGGCGGTGACACGGACGCACAACTCACCACTCCTTGCCCTCATCTCTCTCTCTTCAAACATTCTCTCTGCCATCTCCCGAATCAGCCGAATGAGGGGACTGGGAAAGAAAAAACAAGTGAGTGAAAGAAAGAAATAAGCAGGGAAGGAGAGAGATAGAGAGAGAGAGAACGCGCGAGCGCGGTGCTCTATGGTCACTCGCCCATTGGAAGCTCGAGAGCACATTTTGGATTCGACTTTTTCTTGGAGGGGACTTGGGGAAGAAACAAGCGTTTGTTGGCGTGCCAAAGGCGAACAGCCATGCACCTGAATCGGGAGGACGAGGAGGGAAAAGGTGAGATACTTTGGTGGATTCCGCTCGTTTGTTTTCAGCCAGAACGCCCGCCCTTGAACGGCAGACGATGTGGCGGCACCCGGTACCGCTCGTGTACGGGTCAGTACCGTGTCATTCCGAATGCATTTCGCTTCAATTTGTCCTCAACTGCAAACTGTCAGTTGCCGAACGTGCAAACAGGTGCAACCAGGTTTCTCTATATACATTCGTTCGCGTTTGGACACATACAGCACCTGTTGTTGTGTTGTACCGTGAAGGTAAATACATTTACCTTGGTGCCTTTGAGGGAGTCCATGCACGCGCAAGGTCATCATCTCTCATCACATAGTCATGATAGGGTATCTGCGCGTGCGTTTATTGTTCCGAGTGTGCGTGTGCTCGTCTTGTCCATTGTATCTGCCAAACATGTATCAAAAGCGTTTTGCTCACTTTTTCGTATGCAATTGAGAGAAAGTGAGGATGGGTCATTAGGAGGACGAAGGGACATGGACATGCTTTGGCCTCTGCCCCCTCCTGTTGCGCGCCACGAGATTTGTCAGGTGGGAAAATTACGATGGACAATTGTTATGTGTACAGACAGAGATTTGTTTGGAGAGGCACTGTGGCAGGAAAAATAAGCGTGTGTTGCAAGACGTCAAATAATAAGGCACTCATCTGTGATGCGAGATGCCAGTTCAGAAATAAAAAAAAATAAAAGCCTATGATTAACCCTTGAATGTCAGGAACATATAAATACGTTAGAAAATTTATTTATGGCTATACACCAATTCAGTCATGACGTCAATTTGTAGACCAACCCGGAAGGCTAAATGGGCTCGAGTACCCTTGGGAATTTCTTGTGGATTTTTAGAACAGTACCGGTATAGTCTTTCCCATTGTAATAGGCTGCAAGATATCCAGGGTCAGTGTTCAGGACATTTAGATGATGCAAGAGTTTTTGTAATATTTCCCTCAGACACTGCACTCGCTGTAAACATGCAAAAAAAAAACACACAAAAAAAAAAAAACACATACACGTTAATTGTATTTGTACTTTATTTTAGGTCAAGTTCAGCTGACATGAAAGGTTTGGATCCAATAGTGGAATCTGCATTACTGAGGAAACAATAGGTTACTGTCGTAACCCCGGTTCTCTGAAACATCGAGTGGAGAGATCCACCTATGGGAAGGGCATCCGTACCTGACCTCTGCAGAAGCATCCAATTGCACCAAGTCTGGCTAACAGACAGAAGCACGCAGCCAATGCCAGGTGAGGCCACACCCCCTTACCTACGGGCATATCACAGCTGGGCGCGCTGCTATTCCTCAGTAAGTATATTCGCTTCTCGTGCGGCAAGCGGGGCAAAGCTGGTGGATCTCTCCACTCGATGTTTCAGAGAACCGGGGTTACGACAGTAACCTATTGTTCTCTTTCATCATCTCGTTTCGAGATCCACCTATGGGAGAGACATGGACAGCTCCCCGATTGCCCAATACACTCACAGTGAGGTTCTGAAGGCCAGAGAAGGACGGTCACCTCAGAGAGGCGGTGCCTGACACGTCCCACAAACATGACCCTGCAAGTTTTCCGCCACGCTAACTGCTGTGGACAAGCAGGGCATGAAACATGCATGAGACACATACATGATAATGGCCCCCGCACCACCAATGCACATAGCTAAACCCAAGAAGGAATGCGAATGCTTGGTGACAGGAATGAACATGGCCAGCCGACCCATTCACTCCTCGTTGGTTAACCAAACGGGGCTGTGGGAAAGGGCTAAGAGGACCCTACCTCTAGGACCGAGTGTGCCACCGAAGTTCTGGTGACATCCAACTGGTAGTAACGCTCAAAGGTATGAGGAGAGGCCCAGCTGGCCGCGGAGCAGATGTCCTGCAGTGGCACTCCCCTGAACAAAGCCCAAGAGGCGGCTAAGCCCCTTGTGGAATGAGCTCTGATGCCCCTTGGGGCTGCACTCGCTTTGCTTCATAAGCCATAGTATAGCGTCCACAAGCCAATGTGAGAGGCATTGCTTTGAAATGGGATTCCCCTTGTAGAGGGGAACACTTGAAACAAAGAGCTGGTCGCTCTTGCGGAAAGCACTGGTCCTGGTCATTATGCTTGCAGAGCACGGACGGGACACAGAGCATTCAGCCCCTGATCCTCCGGGGAGGCAAAGGGTGGAGGGTGAAAAGCGGATAGCTCCAAAACCTCTGACGTGAACGCAGGGAAGCATTTCGGCATGAAGGCCGGGTTAGGCTTAAGGAAGAGCTTATCTCCACTTAGGGAGAATTTGGCGCACAAGGGGTGAACCGAGAGTGCATGTAGCTCACTGACCCGTTTAGCAGATGCCAAAGCCGAGAGCAAAGCTGTCTTGAGGGACAGCAGCTTAAGGGAAATACTCCCTGCCTCTTTCCATGAGGTCTTGCAGGAAACACAAAATATCAGGCACCGAGCACTGATAAGATGTGAAACCACGCCCATCATACCACCCTTCGAACACTTGCCACTTACAGCCATATAGGGATCGCGTGGAAACGGCCCTGGCCTTCTGAGTAGTGGCGATTACATGTGGCGGGAGCCCCAGTGCATTTTGGTTCGTCCTCTCACGGGCCAGGCCCAGAGAGCCACCCTGTCCGGGTGGGGGTGGTAAATCTCCCCGTTGGCTTGGGACAGTATGTCCGTGCGAGGGGGGAGGCGCCATGGCTCGGCGTATAACAGAGGGATTATCCCTGCCAGCCATGGGGCTTTGGGCCACCTGGGTGCTATCAGAATGAGAGACAGGCCGTGCTCTCTCACCCTGGCCAGTGTGAAAATTATCAGGCACAGGGGAGGAAAAGCATACAACAGCACTTTGGGCCATGGGTGGGCCAGTGCGTCTGCCCCGAGGGGCGCGTCCATGTCCTTTAGCGAGAAGAACATAGGACAATGGTGATTTTCACGCGAGGCGAAAAGATCTACGGCTGCCTGTCCAATCTCATCCATAACCTCTCCACTATCTGCGGGTGAAGACGCCAATCCCCGTGGATTGGGTTTCCCCTCGATAGCAGATCCGCGCCTCTGTTCCGAATGCCCGGGACATGAGTCACGCGTAATGACAGAAAAACCTGTCTGCTCCACACCAAAAGCCTGTAAGCTAGAGCGTGGAGTTTCGACGAGCGCATGCCACCCTGACGGTTGATATAAGCCACTACCGTGGTATTATCGCACCGTACTAGAACAGGATGTCCCTGCAGGCAAGGCAGAAAATGATTCAGAGCTTTTCAAATAGTAAAAGCTCTGAATAGTTAATGTGCGCTGAACGTAGTCTGCTCAGCCACAGACCGTTCACCGTTCTGCCTTCCTGGGTGGTTCCCCAGCCTGTTAAGGACGCATCTGTCGTCAAAACTTTTCGCATCGTACCGTCCCGAGGGGGGGTTCCCCGTGCGTAAAAGTTCTCGCTCTCCCAATGGCGCAAGGCCGCCGAGCAGGCGCGCGTCATCGTTACCGAGCGGCAGAGATCGCAAATCGGCCTGAAGTGTAGTGTACAAAACCCATTTCGTGAACGTTCTCATTCTCAGGAGACCAATGGCACAACTTGGATAGATGAAGCCATGAGATCCTGCAGCCTGAAGCATTGCGATATTGTACTCTCGCCCCTTCACTGAACTGAGACAGACAGTCCATCAGCGAGCGAACGCGCTCTTGAGAGAGACGCGCTCGCATGGAGACTGAGTTCAATTCCAAGCCCAGGAAAATGACATTCTGACTGGGAGTCAGATTGTTTTCGCTCGCATTCACCTTGAACCCGAGGGATGTGATGTGCGCGAGCACCCGGCCGGTGTCCAGCGACACCTTCTCCTTTGATTTGGCTATGATGAGCCAGTAAGTCAGAATTCTCAGCCCTGATAGTCTCAGGGGCGCCACGCCCACCTCCGCACACAGACAGAAAGTTCGGGGACTCAAATTGCGCCCGAACGAAAGAACTGTGAATTTGTAACAAACGCCTTGGTAGGCGAAACGAAGATATTTCCTGTGTGGAGGGTAGATGCTTATGTGAAAGAAAGCATCTTTCAGATCGACTGATGTGAACCAGTCATTCTGCTTTATGGCACAGGCGAGAGAGGCTTGTGTCACATTCTGAAATTGAATTTCCTCAAATGTTTGTTCAACACTCGAAGGTCCAATATAGGGCGGGGGGGCGCCACGCCTTTTGGAACATGAAAATACCAGGAATAAAAACCATGGTTTATCAGATTGGGTGGCACCATCTGAATCGCTCCCTTGTTAGGAGAGAGGAAATTTCCTCTTTCAGAATGTGTGAGGCGTTTTCTTCTGTGTGAGAAGAGAGAACGCTGTTGAAATGCGGAGGTTTTATTGCAAACTGCAGCTTGTAACCCTGGGTTACAGTACGCAAAAACTCACTCGGGCGCTGAAACGGCTTGCCAAGCCGCTTTGTGACTCGCGAGCGCCCCCGCTCGGGCCGGAGCGGAGCTGTATGGGCCCAGCTGGTTCATTTGTGATGCAAAGGCGCCATCTAGTGGGAACACTAGAGGCGACATGCAAGGGTTTGGAGGGATTTCCTCTCTCTGCAGTGAGAAGTTTTCTTTGCGGAGAGAGGTCTTCTCTCCAAAACGAATTCATTTGATTCGTAGCTTTGTGTGTTTTGTGTTGGGCAAACACTGGGGCCGAAGCCTTTATTGACAGAGTGAGGGAAACATAGTGTGGTGTCCACTGTGCTGAACTTTCCCTCACAAGGTGCCCCCAAAAGTGGGAAAAACACATATCTCCTGAACACATGAACTGGGCAGTCTCAAGTGCAGGCAGAAAAATAATATCCGCGGAGAGAGAAACTCTCTCTGTAACGGATTTATTTAATGCGTTTTTTTTTTCAAGTGTTATTTAGTTATGCGTGTGTTTTGTGTTGGGGAACACAGGGGCCTTACACACACAACGTCCACTAAAAACACATCGGCTGGACAGCCGCAACTGAGCTGTGTGAGCCCAGTTGGTTGATTTATGAGGCAATGGCGACCTCTTG